TGATGCTCAGCATCATTAGCCATTAGAAGATAAAAGGAATGCACAGAGTCACTGTACCAAAAAGAAATGGTGAGAACAAACAAGATGGCAGTTCGGGTAACAGTACAGTGAAGAGCTCCATCAACAACAACACAGAATACCAGACCAAGCAGGCTCAGGGAATGGTGCTCAGGGGATGGAACTCTGAACAACATATAAAGGAATATTTGGAAGGTTGAAAGCTAAGAGAATTTGTAGCAGAAGCAAGAAATCCAGTGCTTTCTAATTCAAGACACTCAGCTGCTCCCGGAGCTGACATCTTGGGTGAGAACAAGTGGAGGAAGGATCAGAGCAGCATGGACACCTGGCAGAACTGCAGAGATAAAGGTGTGGACACTCGTTTTTTTTTTTTATCTCTTCATTGGTCTCTCGCTGTCTGCGCACCTTCATTCTGGTGACTAGAGGGGGAGCCTGAGTGAGTGGACATCCCACCCCCACCCCCAGAGGGTTCTACTATGCAGGCGCACAGATCTCCTTGAAATTTGAAGTGACAGTTTCCACTTAAAACTAAATGGCAGTGCAAAACGGCCATAGCTGGCCCTGAACTGTTTATCACTAGGGAAAAGTCCTGAATGGGGGTTGTGGAGCAGGAAAGGCAGATTAAAAAAGAAATAGGCCAAAAATTAAATCCTGAGTTACATCACATTGAACAACAGTGGCATCATGAAATTTCTCAGGAAGAAGAGTGAAAAGGGAACCCCACCTCCTGATCACATCTACCTGGAGGCAATCAGAAAGCATAAAAAATGCCAAAATACACACCCATCTAAATATTAAGGCCACAGATAACTCCTATATATGCCCCAAAAACAGAAAAGATGACCATATCAGCACATGTCCAGAAATGACATAAAGCAACTGAGACAAATGAGCTGGAAGTAGACTTACACAAGTACTGGAAGATGGGCAGGCTTTGGAAATGTCTGAGAAGGAATTCAGAAAAATGATTATAAAATATATCAAAACACTATACAATGGAAAGCGCTACAGGGAACAATCAAATAAAACAGATACAGCATTGGAAACAATTCAAAACCTAAAGAAAGAGGTCCAAACAATTAATAATAGAATATCAGAAATGGACAATACACTGAAAGGGCAAAGGAATAGAATTGAAGAGATAGAAGCCAGAACTAGTGAGCTACAAGATAAATCTCTCAACACTACTAAGATAGAAGAGCAAACCAAAAAAGGATAAAAAAAAAAAAAATCTGAAGAAGGCCTAAGATTCATGTTGAACAACATGAAGAGGAATAACTTAAGAATTATTGGCATTCCAGAACAGGAAGAATCACACAAGTCTACAACGGAGATAGTTAAAGAGCTTCTGAAGAAAATTTTCCTAACATCATGAAAAGTGAAAGGATAAGCATTCAAGAAGCTCAATTAACCCCAGGAAGGGTAGACCCTAAAAGAAAATCACCAAGACATATCCTAATCAAGCTCTCCAAAATCAAAAATAAGGACATAATCCTGAAAGCAGCTAGGGAAAAGAGAAATGTAATATACAAAGGCAAGAAATCAGATTAAGCTCAGATATCTCAACAGAAACCATGCAGGCAAGAAGACAATGGGGAGACATATATAAAACCCTGAAAGAAAAAACTTCCACCCAAGAATCCTCTACCCAGCAAAGCTGTCAATCAAATACAATGCTGTAATCAAAACATTCCAGGATAAACAGAAGCTAAGGGATTTTTCCAAAGCCAACCCTGCTATAAAAAACATCCTAAAGGAAGTTCTGTGGATTGAGAACCAACAAGAACAGGCAACAACTAGAGAATGACGTACATGGCAGCATCACCCTGAACTCAATCAATACATGGGAGAATCAAGAACAGACTAAAATTATAAAAACAGAGGATCTGGGAGGTCAGTCTATGACCAAAACAATTACAATGTGAAAGAAGGTAAACATAGAGGAACAGAGATAGAGGTGGTGGGAAGGTCAGGTAGATTACAGGACAAAATTGACTGTCTTAAATGGAGTGAAGAGTTAGTGGAATATAAGGTAACCACAACAGTGGGGTTGGAGTGGGGGGTTTAGTTCGGGTGCCGGGATGGGCAATACAAGAAGGGGGTGGAGGCGGAAGAACAAGAAAGATAGGGGAACACTGAGACAGGTTTGCATGTCCTAAGTGGGACAGAGGTAAATAGTGATGCATGTTCAACCTTGGAACAACAGGGCTCTGGGATACACGGATCTAGGCATAGCTTGAAGAGGGGAAATAATACTAAAATGTTTGATTGTCTTATGAATATTGATTGGTTCCCCTTGCCCCCTTGCTTACTATTGTAAAATAGACATTTGAGTGAGATAGAAAGGAACGTTAGGAAATATTATTACAGAAAACTTGTAAGCCCGTCTTCAGCCTATAACTGATTGGAATACCTAAAAGGGGTTCTACAACTTGCCCAGTGAAATAAGCCTCTTGCAAAGCATAGCACCTTAGGTAGAATCCTAAGTCCCATCCAGAATCTTAAGAGGTAGGACATTCCCACTACCAAGGACAAGCAGACCAGCCTGGAACAGCTAAAGTGACAGAAGATACATCTTCAAAGAAAGATCATCAGGAAAAAAACAAAACAAAAATGTCAGCATGACTGGCTATTACAAGAATAAACAAGCTGTTTGCCAAGAAACCATCAAGGCAAGCAATCAAGGTCCTTCAGGACAAACTCCCCTCTAAGACTGAAACTCAAAGAGAACACACAAACAGGCATGTAAACTTGCTGGCGACCACGTTGGTCTACTGGTGAGTGGAAGAGGGGGAAAGGCAGCAATGAAGAAATGGGCAAAGTTCAACCACAATCCATTAACTCCAGTTGACCTGAAGATGAGAGAGAGAAGAGGAAGGGCTGGTTGGTCCAAAGTGTCGTGAGACCTGGGGCACTTAAGCCCATGGACAAGGACATAGCCACAGAGGGCTAGAGCTGTTAGTGAAGCATTTAGCTGTTATGAAGTGAGGGGAGATGCACAAGAATACCCAAACTTGCAGATAGTACCCATTTGACCTAGCCTCGATGGCTTGATAATCAGAACTCGACTAGAGGAAGATTACCAAAAAAAAAGGTTTTTTGATAAAGGAAACAAGGGTAAATTGCTACAATTTGATGAACCTGACCTATACTCATGGTGGTGGTGATGTGCCGTGAAGTCAGTTCTGACTCATACCGACCCTGTACAGGCTTTCCAAGGCTGTAAATCGTCAAGGGAGCAGAAAGCCTCATCTTTCTCCCGCAGAACAGCTGGTAGTTTTGAACTGCTGATCTTAAGGTTTGCAGCCCAGTTCGTAACCACTATGCTACCAGAGCTTCGATACTCATGAAGGTAGTAACTCTAAATACCAACAGAGAGTGACGGTGTCTTCACATCAAGTATCAATGCTATCCCCTCTGTACAGTTTCGACTCACAGCAACCCAGCATAGGGTTTCGAGGCCTTAAATCTTGGTGGGAGCAGAAAGCCTCAACTTTCACCTAAGGAGCGCCTGGCAAGCTCGAACCACAGACTCTGTGGTTCACAGTCCAATGCTTATCTTACGGAGCCACTGCACTCCCACAATGCCAGTTGTTGTGAGGTGCCATGGAGTGGGTACCAACTCACAGTGACCTTATGCACAGCAGAACGAAACACTGCAGGATCCTGGGCCAACCTCACGACTGTTGCATTCTTGAGTAAGTGGGTATATTTTGTTACTTTGTACTTTTGAAGACTAATATAGAAAGAATTTCCTCCTACCTTTAGCCCTCTGACAACATTTGCCTGATATAGATTAGGCACCAACTAGCATGTGCAAAGGCCGCGACCATATGAAGCACAGAAGGAAGAACTGGTACGAACACTGAAGTAGCTGATGGCCAGACAGTAGGAAGTGTCATGTCTGATGCAGAAGCAGATAGTGTCCAAACCATACAAGACCTTCAAAGCCATATGAATTTTTGTTTTTACCCTAAGAACAACCTGTTTGATTGGGAGGGAAGAAAGAGGCATCAGATTAACATTTTTTAAAGATAACACTCTACAGTGTGGTGGAAAGGCTGGTCATTTGTATGGGGCTGGGGATGCTGAAGAGTATTAGGGCATAGTTGTTGTTGTTGTTGTTAAGTGCCGTCGAGTCGGTTCCGACCCATAGCGACCCTGTACAGGGTTTCCGAGGGTGTAAATCTTTACGGGAGTAGAAACCCTCATCTTTCTCCCGCGGAGCGGCTGGTAGTTTCGAACCACTGACCTTAAGGTTTGCAGCCCGACTCGTAACCACTACGCTACCAGAGCTCCATTAGGGCATAGAGCAAGTTATAAATAAGGAAGATATCACAAGAGTCCATTAAAGAGATCATGGTAAACTGGATCCAAGGTAGTGGAGATGGAAAAAGAGGACGGGTTTCCAAAAGATTTAGACAAAGCAATAGGACTTCACATTGTGAGTAAGGAAAATACGCAATTATTCTGAGCTGCAATTTTTCACCTGTAAAATGGTGGTGGAGGTGATGTGCCATGGAATCAGTTCCGACTCATAGCAACCTTGAGAAGGGTTTCCAAGGCTGTAAATCTTTATCGGAGTTGAAAGCCTCATCTTTCTCTCGCATAACAGCTACTAGTTTCGAACTGCTCAGTTTGAAGTTAGCAGCCCGATTCGTAACCACTATGATATCAGAGCTCTTTCACATGTAAACTATCTACCTTGATATCTGCTATAATGATATATGTATCTAAGGATTTATAAGTAAACACAGGACAAGAAATGGGTCGCTTGTTGAGCTAGTACAACAAGACTCGGCCTACATCCAGAGCAGCATGAATTTTTAACTCCCCCATGTCTCCAGCTCCTTGATTGGCAAGGCCCTGTCATCCCTTGGTTAAAGACGAGGCTTCCGTTCACCATCCGCCCTGCCCTTCCGATTCTATGCCCCTAGCTGCAAATGCACTAAAGACACCTGATCCAAGAGAGCCCTACATACCTTAGCTTCCCGCTCTCGTTCCTCCACGGTTTGGGTTCGCTTCATGCTGCAGCTACAGACGCCTTCGCCACCACGAGCCGCGTAGCAACGTCTCCCTGGACCCCGCCTCCAACATGTAGTTCTCTCAGTGTTCTACACCCGCCCGAAATCATTCTTCCTTAGAATATCGAAAACTAACATTCCAACAATGCAACGCGGCGAAGCTCGAGAGTGCCTCTGTGTTTGGAACAGGAGAAATTACCTACCACACAGCGAGCACTCGGGATAGGACCCGAGTAGAACTACATCACCCAGGAGGCAGCGGGGCTCTGACATGTTTTCCCATGCTCCTCTCTCCCAGTCTCCCGACACGCCGTCGGCGTTATAGCAACGGTAGCTAACAGCGGAGAGAGTGGCGGTGAGTACTTTGAGGGGCTGAGGAGGCAAGAGGAGGGAGGTTGGTGGAATCTTATCCCCCAGCGTGGGCCAGGATCCTAGGGTCGGCTTTGTGACCTGAAGAAGGGTCTGGAGTTATGCTCGCGTGAAAAACAACCTAGCACTAGACATTTCCATATCCTACGGCCTGAATCATAGCCCGCCTTTTATCCCCACTCCCAGAACTAGTTTGAAATTTTATATCCCTGCCTTAAACCCTAGTAGATGAAGATGCTAATTGCCACGACCCTCCAGATCCTTGGAGTTCTGGTGTGGCCCTGTAGGATAAGCACTTGTCTGCTAATCATAGGTTGGCAGTTCAAACTCACCAGCCGCTCCTCAGAAACCACAAGGTCCTTATGAGTTGGAACCAACTCCATGATACTTAACGGTCTTCATCAGTAAAAGGTCACAGAAACATAATGCTTTCATTTGCCCTGCCTGCAACGGGAGTTGGTTATTAGACTCCAAACCAATTTATAATTATTTCTCTTGAGCACTCCCATACCTCTCCATAAAGGCAAGGACATTGTTTACCATTTTAGCCCCAGCACCTGGTGTTCATTTATTCATTCAATAAATATTAATGTTGGCACCGCCATTTGCCAGACACTGGACTGAACATTCAGTGAATCAGACTGATATCCATCTGAAAATGCTTATACTTACCAGTGGAGACAAACAATGAACTGCTGTTGTTGTTGTTGTTAGGTGCCATTGAATTGTCACCAACTCATAACGACTCTGTACACAACAGAAGGAAAAACAGCCCAATCCTGCTCCAACCTCACAATCCTTGCTAGGCTTGAACCCGTTGCTGCTGCCACTGTGCCAATCCATTTTGTTGGTGGGCTTCATCTTTTTCTCTAACCCTCTGCCCTCCTTCTCCAGAGACTAGTTCCTCCTGATAATATCCCCAAAGTATGAGAAATGACCTCTGGCCATCCTGGCTTCCAAGGAGCATTCTGGCTGTACTTCTTGCAACACAGATTGGTTTGTTCTTTTAGTAGTCAGTGGTACTTTTAATATTCTCCAACACCATAACTCAAATGCATCAATTCTTCTACAGTCTTCTTTATTTGATGTCCAACTTTCACTTGCATATGAGGTTATTGAAAATACCATGGCTTGGATCAGGCACACCTTACTCCTCAAATTAACATCTTTCCTTTTGAACATTTCAAATAGGTCTTGTGCAACAGATTTGCCTACTGTAAAATGTCATTTGATTTCTTGACTGCTGTTTCTATGAGTGTGGATGGTTGGTCCGAGCCAAATGAAGTCTTTGACAACTTCATTATTTTCTCCATTTATATGGATCTTCTTTATTGGTCCAGTGTTGAGGTTTTTTGCTTTCTTTACATTAAGATGAAATCCATACTGAAGGGTGTGGTCTTTGATCATCAGTAAGTCTTTTAAGTCCTCTTTGCTTTTATCAAACAAGATTGTATATCATCTGCATATCGGTAATGAGTCTTCCTCCTATCCTGATGCCACGTTCTTCTTATAATCTAGTTTCTCAAATTATTTGCTCAGCATACATATGAATAAGTATGGTGAAAGACTACAACCCTGGCACACCTTTCCTAATTTTAAACCATCTGGTGTTCTCTTGTTCTGTTTGAACAACTGACTTTTGGTCTGTGAACAGGTTCCTCATGAGCACAATTTAGCACTCCAGAATACTCATTCTCCTCATTCTATTCAATGGCTCGTCATGATCCACACAATCAAAAGCCTTTCCATAGTCAACAAAGCACCGGTAAACAATTTTTGGTTATTTTCTGCTTTCAGCTAAGATCAGTCTGACTTTAGCAATGATGTCCATCATTCCACGTCCTCGTCTGACTCCGGCATGAACATCTGGCAGTTATCGTCAGTGTACAGTTGCAGCCATTTTTGTATTTACCTAAATTTTACTTACATGCAATATTAATGATATTGTCCGATGGCTTCTGAATTCCATTGGGTCACCTCTCGTTGGAATGGGCACAAATACAGATCTCTTCCACCAAGTAGGCCAGGTAGTTGTCTTCCAAATTTCTTGACATAGATGAGTGAGTGTCTCCAGTGCCACATCAGTTTGTTGAAAGATTTCAATTTGTATTCCATCAATTCTAATAGCTAGCCTTGTCCTTTGACAATTCCTTCAGTGCACCTTGAACTTATTCCTTCAGTATCATTGGCTTTTGATCATATGCTACCTCTTGAAATGGATGAGCATCAACCTTTTTTTGTTGTTACAGTGACTCTGTATTCCTTCCATCTTTTTTAAGGTTTTTATTATGGATTGAGTGAAAGTTTATAGGGTAGATCATCAGTTTTACATTCAACAAAACATACACCTTGTTTCATTACAATGATTACAATCCCCTCCATGTACCATCAGTTAACAATATTTCTCTCTATCCACATTAGCTTTTGAAAAAACAACAACACTCAGGCACATATGATAATGTACACCTCTAAAGGACACATTCTGCAAGACTGCCTCCTGGCCTCCAGCTCTTAGTCCTTCTCTTCCCATGAATCTAGAATCCTCAGCCGCTCTCCCTCTCCATGCCCCCATCTCTGCTTCTGTCTCTGGCATCGCTGCTTCTCCAGATAAGGTCCTGCATTCCACTTGTGTTCTTCTCCCTTGATGGCCCTAGGGTCCTATGGTTTTGGACTGTTAAGATTAGCCACTACCCTGTTTTTGTTACAAAACTTACACCTTTACAATTGTGACAGTCGCAATTAGTCATAGTAACAATTATTCACTATTGAATCCTACGAATCTTATCCCATCTCTTTTCACCAGACCCATCTAGACAAGATGGAATCTATTCAGTAGGGACTCTTTCTTTCCTCCCATACTCTAAAACTAAACTCACTCTTGAAACCTTGTAAGCCAGTTACTTAGTGCCTTTATCGCCCCCTCATTTTAGGTAGCCATTGTCTAAGTTGCCCATCCCTATCTACCCTGTGTACAGAGGGGATAGCATTGATACTTGATGTGAAGACTCCTTCATTCTCAGTTGGTATTTAGAGTTACTACCTCCATGAGTATCGAAGCTCTGGTAGCATTGTTGTTGTTGTTGTTAAGTGCCATCGAGTCGGTTCCGACCCATAGCGACCCTGTACATAGTGGTTACAAATTGGGCTGTGAACCACAAGGTCAGCAGTTCAAAACTACCAGCTGCTCCGTGGGAGAAAGATGAGGCTTTCTGCTCCTGTAAAGATTTACAGCCTCAGAAACCCTGTACAGGGTCGCTATGAGTCAGAACTGACTCCACATAACCACCACCACCTCCATGAGTATAGGTCAGGTTCATCAAATTGTAGCAATTTACCCTTATTTCCCTTATCAAAAAATCTTTTATTTATTTATTTTTTTTTGTAATCTTCCTCTAGCCGAGTTCTGATTATCAAGTCATCGAGGCTAGGTCAAATGGGTACTGTCTGCAAGTTTGGGTATTCTTGTGCATCTCCCCTCACTTCATATCAGTTGAATGCTTCACTCTCAGCTCGAGCCCTCTGTGGCTATGTCCTTGTCCATGGGCTCAAGTGTCCCAGGTCTCACCACACTTTGGACCAACCAGCCCTTCCTCTTCTATCATCTCCAGGTCAACAGGAGTCAATGGACTGTGTGGTTGAATCAGCCCATTTCTTCATTGCTGCCTTTCCTCCTCTTCCACTCAGTAGAACAGTGTGGTCTCCAGCAAGCTTACATGCCTGATTGTGTGTTCTCTTTGAGTTTTAGTCTTAGAGGGGAGTTTGTCCTGAAGGAATTTGATTGCTTGCCTTGATGGCTTCCTGGTGAACAGCTTGCTTATTCTTGTAATAGCTAGTGATGCTGACATTTTTGTTTTGTTTTTTTCCTGATGATCTTTCTTTGAAGATGTATCTTCTGTTACTCTAGCTGTTCCCGGTTGGTCTGCTTGTCCTTGCTAGTGGGAATGTCCCTCCTCTTAAGTTTCTGGATGGGAATCAGGATTCCACCTAAGGTGCTACACTTTGCAAAGGCTTTGCAAGAGGCCTATTTCACTGGGCAAGTTTTAGAACGCCTTTTAGGTATTCCAATCAGTTATAGGCTGAAGATGGGCTTACTAGTTTTCTGTAATCATGTTTCCCAACATTCCTTTGTATCCCACTCAAATGTCTATTTTATGTCATTCTCAAGTTGTTATGTGTTCTTGTTGGTTCTCAGTCCACAGAACTTCCTTTAGGATGTTTTTCATAGCAGGGTTGGCTTTGGCAAAATCCTTTAGCTTCTGTTTATCCTGGAATGCTTTTATTACACCATCATATTTGATTGACAGTTTTGCTGGGTAGAAGAATCTTGAGTGGCAGTTTTTTTCTTTCAGGGTTTTATATATCTCTCCCCATTGCCTACTTGTCTACATGGTTTCTGTTGAGAGATCCGAGCTTAATCTGATTTGCTTGCCTTTGTATGTTACACTTCCCATTTCCCTAGCTGCTTTCAGGATTCCATCCTTATCTTTGATTTTGGAGAGCTTGATTAGGATAAGTCTTGGTGATTTTCTTTTAGGGTCTATCCTTCCTGGGGTTCATTGAGCTTCTTGAATGCTTATCCTTTTGCTTTTCAGGATGTTAGGAAATTTTTCTTCCAGCAGCTCTTCAACTATCTC